ATTTCCTGTACGGCAACTGTCAAGATATCAAACTGATCTCCTTCTCGGTGACCCATTCACGACACAAATAATACACACCCATTAAAAAAATGTCCTGTACGGTGACCCAGTGATGACATCAAACTGAACTTCCAAACATTGATCAAGTCACGACATACAAAGTACAGCTTCTGTTATATAATATATATTACAAACTTGTTAAGAAGATTAAGATCAAGAGGATACAGCTGCTTCGTTCTTCTAGGACTCGTCAGTGATGCTATGTCATACAGCTGTTTCGTCCTTCTAGGACTCGTCAGTGATGCTATGTCATACAGCTGTTTCGTCCTTCTAGGACTCGTCAGTGATGCTACATCATACAGCTATTTCGTCCTTCTAAGACTCGTCAGTGATGCTACATCATACAGCTATTTCGTCCTTCTAGGACTCGTCAGTGATGCTATGTCATACAGCTGTTTCGTCCTTCTAGGACTCGTCAGTGATGCTATGTCATACAGCTGTTTCGTCCTTCTAGGACTCGTCAGTGACGCTATGTCATACAGCTGTTTCATCCTTTTAGGACTCGTCAGTGATGCCAAGGGCCTAAATGTTGAAACCTAGAAGGCAACAGAGGAAAATCCAAAGTGACCTAAAGAAATTTCAAAATCTAGACAGGCAGGTGCACTATCCCCATAATTTATTTTCTCCTACTTTCCATAATATTGATGCTTATACATTTCGTTTAGACTGATTTGCAATCTGTCTACACTGATGGTACAAAAGACAATGACTAGATAAAGGTTTATGATGCAGGCTGACCAGTCTTTACAATATCTTCATTCATTATGAGAACACTTTCTTTATGTCTGATACCAAAAATACCTCTACCTCCTACCCTGTACCCTGTACCACCATGACACCACCTAACCTTTACATGCTACCCTGTACCCTGTACCACCACAACACCACCTATCCTCTAGCTTCTATTCTGTACCCTGTCCCCTGTACCACCACTACACCACCTACCCTCTACCTTCTACTCTGTACCCTGAACCCTGTGCAACCACGACAACACCTACCCTCTACCTTCTACTCTGTACCCTGAACCCTGTGTCACCACGACACCACGACACCACCTACCCTCTACCTTCTACTCTGTACCCTGTACCAACACGACACCACCTACCCTCTACGTCCTACCCTGTACCCTGTACCACCACGACACCATCTACCCTCTACCTTCTACTCTGTATCCTGTACCATGTACCACTACGACACCACCTACCCTCTACCTTCTACTCTGTACCCTGTACCAACACGACACCACCTACCCTCTACGTCCTACCCTGTACCCTGTACCACCACGACACCATCTACCCTCTACCTTCTACTCTGTATCCTGTACCATGTACCACTACGACACAACCTACCCTCTACCTTCTACTCTGTACCCTGTACTCTGTATCACTACGACACCACCTACCCTCTATGTCCTACCTTGTACCCTGTACCACCACGACACCGCCTATCCTCTACCTTCTACTCCGTACCCTGTACCCTGTACCACCATGACACCACCTACCCTCTACCTTCTACTCTGTACCCTGTAACACCACGACACCACCTACCCTCTACTTTCTACTCTGTACCCTGTACCACCACGACACCACCTACCCTCTACCTTCTACTCTGTACCCTGTACCACCACGACACCACCTACCCTCTACCTTCTACTCTGTACCCTGTACCACCACGACACCACCTACCCTCTACCTTCTACCCTGTACCCTGTACCACCACGACACCACCTACCCTCTACCTTCTACCCTGTACCCTGTACCACCACGACACCACCTACCCTCTACCTTCTACTCTGTACCCTGTACCACCACGACACCACCTACCCTCTACCTTCTACTCTGTACCCTGTACCACCACGACATGGTAATTCTAAATTCAGAACTCGAATGTTGCGCATCACGAAATCCATACCTTCTTTATCTGAATGTTTGGTACTACGTCATACAACATTCAATGTTCAGAATTCGATTATTGTATATTACGACAAACGACATACATTTAGAATATTACTATAGCACTCCTCGACAAATAACGTTCAGAATTTTAATGTTGCGAAGCTTGACATACATTTACACACTATGAATGTTGTTTTGAACAAGACACGGAGGTTTCAAATTTTACTGATAAGCGACAAAATCTGTATCACTTCCAACTTATAATTATTATCAAAGTGGCACTATGAAACCTACCAGGCTTAAACTTCTAGGACATATAAAACCAAAAATCATTTCTTTATTTGTGTTTTTTCCCAAAACTATCCCATATTAATTCAAAATGTTGAAAACAGATCCCAGAACATATTGAAACGTTTCCTTGCTACTATATACTATTAATTAGAATTTTATATTCAACTTGGAAATGGACCTTATAAAACAAGCAGGATTCACATTGAGTTCGTGGTTTGATCTTTATATGGTCTTTCCACGCCTTTCTCCTCTCCTTTTCTATATTTTTGCTTTATTTCCAGGAGATTTGAAAATTCCTCTTCAGAAATGGCAATAACAATCTTAAACGGTCAAATTCAAGATGGTCGCCCATCGGCCATTTTGTTCTTCATAAGCATTTACATAATTGATTTAATAATTGTAGGCGAGTTTTACTATAGCCAGTTTTTATCTCAAGGAACGCGGTAGTTTCAACCTGGGCTTAAAAGGACAAAACAGCACTACATTATTTGTTATGTTGTATCGCAATATTATTTTTTATTAAAAGATAATATTCACTTTTGTTTTTTTACCATCTTTGTATCAAAGTTTTGCGTTCCATCTCCATTAAAGCTTTGATTGTCTGACTTATTTACAGCAAAATTGTTAGTTCATTTGCTTGCACCGTGTGCCACGGAAAACACATCTGTAGAACTCGTTTGTTTTCCTAAAATATACATTTTTACGTCGTTTTTGCTTGAAGTTTATTTAAGGAAGATCTCTAAAGAAACAATGTTGTTTTAGCTTTGCGCTCTCTGATACTATCTGACGATGTTATTGGTGGCCAGACGATTAACTATAAAAAGATTTTAAAGAGAATCCCATATTTCACGCCCTCTTCTAAACCGGAAGTTGACTGTTCACTGGAGTGCTCCGTGACATTCATTATTTCCTTTTCTTGTTTTGTATTTTTTAAACAATAGGTTTAAAGTGTATTGTTATAGCTGTTATGGCATCTCTTAACAGAGTTTAAAACTATACAATTATTCAAAATGATAATAATCCATGACATCTTTGATTAGAAACGGAAAGAATCGAGGGTTTAAAAGTACACAAAAATGAAGTCGTAATTCGAAAAGAACACAAAAAAATGAAGATATAATTTGAAAAGTACACAAAAAATGACGATGCATTTAGAATTGTATGAATTTGAAAAATAAGTGGTCGAGGACGGTGTGACTACAGAAGAGTGCCGACTGTGATTTGTCCCGTTTTGGGTACATTACGCATTGCTTTATAAATCTTCCTCACCTTTGGCTGTCAAGGTAGGAGCAATGAGTAAGAACATGTTTACCAGTAAAGAGATATTGTTAGTCGCCTCCTACGATTCATGAAATTTGAATAGCAGATACAGTTCTTAATTCCTAAGTGTAGAGAACGACGAGGAGTTAAAAAATAAGATAGAAGGAAGAAAAAATTGAAAATATTACAGAAACACATTATTCTACAATTACAAAGAGATTTCATCTCAATTTCAATAACAGCGGGGAGAAGTATTCGGCGACGCAGAAATAAGCGTTTTTAGCCGTTAGTGAAGATTGTGGCGTTGTGGCGAGAAGAGGGAAAAACGAGACAGTGATATATAACAAGAAATTATGATGTGAATATATTTTTATTTGTTTTTAAGTTGATTTAACTTCAATTTCATTTAAAAAGAATAAACATAAGTGTTAGTGATTAGGAATGGTTGCTACAAGGTTTCGTAACTGACGTATGTAAAACGGGAAGTTGGCAGTCCTGATCGAGAAACGAAGCAATAATTTATCATTGGAACCCAGTGATTTTAATTAGTTTGGATTTCAATTTCACTTGTATGGGAGTGTTGTCTAATCTATATTATTAAAAACATTTTAAAATCATACCACGAGCTTAGCACTGTATCAAGTAGAAGTAGGGTTCGGGAGAGGTTGTGAGGGAAAAGGAGAAGCGAGACAGTTATGTGTAAAAAGCACAATTTTATAGAAATTTGGATTTTTCACTGTGACAGAAGAGAACGACACCGTTGCGTCAAACATTACTACAATTATTTCTCTGCGTGAAAAACACGTATACATTATGTAAGGTTGGGACGGACAGACAGACCGACACACAGACAAACTATCGAGACGAAGAGGGCAAAGTAGGGAAGTAGAGATAACGACCTAGATGTGGTGGAAACGGCACGAGACGGGATAGAGAGATAAACGGGGTAAAGACAGACTGTTCGACAGATATACCAATAGAACGATGTCAGCGAACGCTACTAAACTTTGGGTTTGTCGGGCACGGCTGTGTGTATACAGATATACAACACTGAAAGTATTTCGTTCAGGGATCCAACATACGAATACCACGTAGCCATATGTATACAGAATCCTCACATCCACACCATAGTTTGAACAAAAATCGTCTGCTGAACTTGATCTCTGGTACGACATGAAGGATAGCACATCTACTATATGTATTTAATACTATGATGTACAATAGTGTACCTACACTTTTGAGGTAATTTTGAATTTGTGCTCGGTGTGTTTGCGTACAACAGATGAGATATATAAATAATTTTTTAAGGGGGCGAGTTTTTAAGATGTTTCCCCCCCACATAACTCGATGTATTTACGACATAGGAAGCTTAAGTGAGCTACCGTAACCCGTGCTGGTGACCTACGTACGGTACATAGGTATAAAGCCCTGTTCTAACACTAGGCGTCTTTAGACAGAACGATTATAGCGTTCAACGGAGAACATGGCATTTCTCTCACTAGACAACACTCCGGACAGAAGGGGGACATTCTGTGGACACACTTGACCACTATCTGGCCAAACTGACCACTCCGAACATGCAGCGGACTGCATTACTCCTCCTCTTTCCTCTTCTTTCCGTCTTGTTTTCACATATCGGAGTTTACAGTAAGAAGGTGAGTTCACATATTCGAATATATTTATCACATCTTTTTTTTACTAAATACTACATATTTATTTAAGCCAGATGTCACTCATATTACGCCTTAAGTATATTTTTTATCAACCGACTTTTACTGAATATTACAACAATATATTTTTTTTTCTCATTCTCTTCAGCATTTTTTTCCTCTTTTCAATTTTTTGGTGTACATACATCGTGTTAGTGAGAAATGTAATTCTTGTTCAAGGTTGATATAAATAATCTTGACTGAAATCTTGATTACTGGGTCTGGGGGTGGAGGGATTCTCAAGTGTCAGGGAGGGGGAGAGGATATTCAGGCGCCGATATCATACAAAAATCTACCTATAAAGCCGATGTAAGCGGCTACAGCCCACATTAAGCAGGAAATTAAAAAGATGATACTAAAAAAATACGTGATATGTCTGTTTTGTGTAGGGTTACATGTAATACAAGGCCGGTAGTATTATTAAAAACAAATCACGTTGGTGATATGATATATAGATATAACATATTGAATCAGTGGACAGTATTTCTCTTATAATCTTCAACTTCGGAGTCGTGTTATTAAAGACTAAAAGAAAACATTACCTTTAAAAATAATATTCATTATTCCCTGGTAACCGTGAAGACCTAAATTTAGACCTGCCTAACGTTATAAATTTTGTTTTGTCGATTTCCAACAGGCACTTTAAATTAAGGAGTTCTGTCTCATAAATGCAAATATTTTTTCTTTATTTGAAATAAAACATGCGTGCTTACCTGGTAAACTATAAAATAGATGTATTTTTGGTCAATAGTTAATATACGTTTATACAGGTGTATTGTGCACGTTAAATACTACATTTGTATGTATAACGTGTGTTGTTTGGAATCTTCTCTACTGCATTTTGTGTGAAAAGTTCGATCAGACACACTCAAAAGATAATATCTCACTGATATAACCTAATCCGGATATTCTGCTAATCCGAATGTTTATCCGGACAAACGAAATTACACTTATATATATATATATATATACATGTCACCTTAAATTTTACAGAAAATTGTAGTAGTCTATACGACAAAACTTTCCTCTTTATCAAGTGTTTCAGTGAACCTTAAAAAAAAGTTCCGAATGTGATCCAGACTCACGGGTTCTGGCTTGACAATTTTATGTATTGACAACAATATCATTAATCCGAAACACTTGTTAATCCGAACTCCATCTTGGCTGACGAGGTTATAACGAACAGCATCAGTCGTTCCTTTTACTGATCTCTTGTATATTAAGTTTCTTTTATTTATTCAAAGTAGAATTGTACATTGTAGTTCTTAAAAACCATTTCAGTGTGATCATAAAATCTGATATATATGCACATACATATATTGTTATAAACGGGACCAGTCATTTTCAAATAGTATTAGAATTACACGATTTATTCAATAAAGCGTGTACATTTCACAAAAAATATACAATGTTCAAAAGGAACACATTGATATCTTTTGAAAGAATTAACAATTTGTTAAATTAATGATGAATAGCTGAAATATATAACAATAGGAGCAATTGTAAGTAAACAATCAGTAAATGTGTAAGTATAGACAAGGGCAGAGACACGCTTGGTCATATATAAACATATATTTATGACTTTTTCATTTACTTTTCTTACATGTTTTTATGGGATAAAATAAGGATTCCTTCATTAACGTTCAGTGTTATATAACGTATTTCACGGACCTTCAGCTTAGAACGGTTATCTCCTCTATAATAAAAAGAGTTCCAAAATGTCAAATGTGTAAGTATATCGTTCATATCTCACGATATATACTGTACACAAGGAAAATGCAGGTTTTGGCAGCAAGTTGATGAAAGCATATCATTACGATAGGCTCAAGATGACATTTAATCAAATCTTGAGAAGGGGAATAACTCTTAGCACAAACCACAGAATTTTAATTTGCAAAGTAGCATGCTTCCTTAAGTATCATCAGTGGTTGGTACATGTTTTAACTTTAAGATAATCAACGATGCGAAATAAGGAATCAATCATCAAATCAATAGCCGATCAATCAGAAATCAATAGCCGATCAATCAGAAATCAATAGCAGATCAATCAGAAATCAATAGCAGATCAATCAGAAATCAATAGCCGATCAATCAGAAATCAATAGCCGATCAATCAGAAATCAATAGCCGATCAATCAGAAATCAATAGCCGATCAATCAGAAATCAATAGCCGATCAATCAGAAATCAATAGCCGATCAATCAGTTATAATCAATAGCCAAAGTATAAATCAATCAGAAATCAATAGCCGATCAATCAGAAATCAATAGCCGATCAATCAGAAATCAATAGTTAATACCATGTTTAATCAATACCAGAAATAATACCATGTTTAATCGTTTTACTATGGTAATAGCCGATCAATCAGAAATCAATATTCTGTAACGGATCATCATAGTGTTATAACCAACAGTTGCCAAAGTATAAATTGGTTCATACAGATTATGTCAATTTCTGTCAATCATGTGTCAGCGGTTTTGTGTCAAGGGCTTGATGATTGCTGAAAACATGCCTTTGATAAATCTGGGTATCATTTTACTATGTTAATACCATGTTTAATCGTTTTACTATGGTAATACCATGTTTAATCGTTTTACTATGGTAATACCATGTTTAATCGTTTTACTATGTTAATACCATGTTTAATCATTTTACTATGGTAATACCATGTTTAATCGTTTTACTGTGTTAATACCATGTTTAATCGTTTTACTGTGTTAATACCATGTTTAATCGTTTTACTATGTTAATACCATGTTTAATCGTTTTACTATGGTAATACCATGTTTAATCGTTTTACTATGGTAATACCATGTTTAATCGTTTTACTATGGTAATACCAGACGATTTTAATACATCAGAGCAAATAGGTACGTTAAACATAAAAACACAGATATTTCGTTACGGGTCATGTTCAATACTCATTCGTTATATTGTCATTCATAGTACTCGTTTCAGTGTCATTTACTGGTCACGTTGGTAATAGTGTCACAGTACTCGTCACAAAATGTCCTCCAGAGTACTAACTAGTTAAACTGCCATTCACAATACTCGCACGGTATTACATATGAATGTCATTCACATTTGCACTCGTTAAACTCTCATCCGCAGTATTCTCGATATAGAGTAACTCACAGTATTTGCTCGTCTCCATCATTTAAAATACTCGTTCGTTATAGTGTTATCTACATCACCCGGTCATCATTGTGTCATCTACAGTAATCATTCGTTATTGTGTCATCCTCAGCGCTCGTTCGTTATATTGTCATACTCAACGCTCGTTCGTTATAGTGTCATCGTCAGAGATTGTTCGTTATAGTGTTATCCACAGTACTCGTTCGTTATAGTGTCATCCTCAGCGTTCGTTCGTTATAGTGTCATCCACAGTACTCGTTCGTTATAGTGTCAACTACATCACCCAGTCATCACTGTGTCATCCACAGTAATCATTCGTTATAGTGTCATACTCAGCGCTCGTTCGTTATAGTGTCATCCTCAGCTTTCATTCGTTATAGTGTCATCCACAGTACTCGTTCGTCATAGTGTCATCCACAGTACTCGTTCGTTATAGTGTCATACTCAGAGCTCGTTCGTTATAGTGTCATACTCAGCGCTCGTTCGTTATAGTGTCATCCTCAGCACTCGTTCGTTATAGTGTCATCCTCAGCTTTCATTCGTTATAGTGTCATCCACAGTACTCGTTCGTTATAGTGTCATCCACAGTACTTGTTCGTTATAGTGTCATACTCAACACTCGTTCGTTAAGTGTTATCCTCAGCTTTCATTCTTATAGTGTCATCCACAATACTCGTTCGTTATAGTTTCATACTCAGCGCTCGTTCGTTAAAGTGTCATCCTCAGAGCTCGTTCGTTATAGTGTCATACTCAGCGCTCGTTCGTAATAGTGTCATCCTCAACGCTCATTCGTTATAGTGTCATCCTCAGCGCTCGTTCGTTATAGTGTCATCCTCAGCACTCGTTCGTTATAGTGTCATCCTCAGCACTCGTTCGTTATATTGTCATCCTCAGAGCTCGTTCGTTATATTGTCATCCTCAGAGCTCGTTCGTTATATTGTCATCCTCAGAGCTCGTTCGTTATATTGTCATCCTCAGAGCTCGTTCGTTATAGTGTCATCCACAGTACTCGTTCGTTATAGTGTCATCCTCAGAGCTCGTTCGTTAAAGTGTCATCCTCAGAGCTCGTTCGTTAAAGTGTCATAAACAGGGCTCGTTCGTTATAGTGTCATCCACGGTGCTCACAGTAAGTATCATATACGGAGGAAATGAAGAAATTATATTAATAACTACTTGTTTTATCAATGGTGATGTCCCGTAGTACTCTGTTTATATATATAATCCTTATCTCATATACAAGTGTATCTGGTAAATATCACATATGAAATATATTGACTTTTTTGGTTCAATATAACACCAAAATATGATTTGATAATAACTTGCCAAAGTTTAAAATATCTCGCGGAGAGACCGAATTGCTCAAGTAATTTTTCATCATTCTGATGATACTGTTGTGTACCGTTTTTGTTTGATACATGCATTGACTGTAATGTTGCCCACGAGGCTAGTTTTTTCCCCTATTTTCTCTCTGTTAAATATATATAACACAACTGTTTATTGGATGTTGTTGTTTTACACTGAAAAAAACTTCCAATCAACCAGATATCCTAACATTCTATAAATAGAAGTTTTATGAAACATGTTGACCGTTTGAATTGTTAATAAATGACAGATATACATGTCTCTCTATTTAGATATTGCTATATATATCTACGCAAATATGTTTACGTAAGTGAGATCTATTTATGAGAACAAGTTTCAAATTTATTGACATTTTTTACGAGTTTGTTTTTGTGATATGTACAATTTTGTTTTCATGTTTTATCTAACCCGACTTTTTATATGATATTACTTTCATCCCACAAGCTTAATATCTTGTTTTTCGCACGTCGACACTAAGATTGAATTCTTCTCGTCTATCGCCCTCACGCTGGCTGCAGACATCTTCTATCTCCTTCTCAAAGTGTGTGGGAGAGTGAGAGAAACTGAAAAAATATCAGCCTGCAATTTAGTATGTTTTTCACATGCATATACACCTAATGCCCCTGTGTTTGCGGTAGATAACCACGCCTTAAGCCGTCTCTGATTCCAACACCAGGATCGCTATCAACTAAACGAAATGATGGACCTTTGCTGTGTTCGTGCCCCGCGGCCCGCTTTATAGGAAAAAGACCACTCATTAGTAAAGTCTGTGACCTCATTACCGCGCGTGCTTGTGGTCTGTTTCCGCTTGCCGTAGACTGTCGATACTAAGACATTCCATCATGCTCAACATTCCCACGGAGTAACGCGTAGTGCTGAAATAGCCCATTCACACAATTGAGCGAATAAAATTTAAAAGAAACGTAAAAACCATAGCATCTACTTAATAACATTACCTATTTATAAAAGTAAATTTAAAAGGCACCGAATTGAAATAGATAAATGATGTTCACGTTTAAAATGCACTTTTGTATATATATATATATGTGTGTGTGTGTGTGTGTGTGTGTGTGTGTGTGTGTGTGTTTTCTCAGATGCGTTTAAACCTGGAAGTGAGTACTCGAATCCTGTTTTTGTTTGTTTTATCTCTTATAATTTAATTCTACGTGTGATTTTTCCCTTACCACACGTAACTGTCAAACAATATATTTAAATAATTTCGTAATAACGGGATGTTTCTTAGAACTTGCTGGAAGTTTCTTAATTCGAAGCCGTATAAAAGGAAAAAAAATGTTTTTAACCTCGTTGATCATTTAGATGTGCATGAACTATTAATTAATACTCTAAAGTGGGCAGTGTTTTGTATGTTACGTGTGTCAGTTGGAGTTTGGGTAATAGTACACAAGAACTGACTCATGTAATACGGTATCAGTTTCTTCACGAAATGAATCATTTGCCTAATGGCCAAATCTTCCTTAATGAATTACATATCTAAAGAGACACTCCCACTTATCTAACACATTGTCGTTAGTCACCCGAAAAAAGTACAAGACACTTTCATTTAGTGGAGAATGTACTTTTCATAATATATGTTAGTCGAACGAGTACAATACATGTTCATTCTTATTCCTGAAATAATACCAACTACTGTGAAATTCAGTCAGAAAAATCAGAGTAACGTTTACTAGAATCATTCTTAATCTAACGTTAACACTTCTTATGGAGATGTTCAGTTGGTATATATGGCATACACTCCCGGAACCTCATGTGACGGGCTCCGAGGTCTGTGGTTCGATTCTTATTCGGGACGGATTTGTGTTCCATCGGTAGGGTGAGAAAACGAGACGTCGTATGCTATTGTTCAACAATTTCGCAAGATATAAAGAATTTAGAAATATATTCGGGATGGCATGCAAGGGTCTCCCGTATGTAAATCAGCGAGGCAAGTCACAAGCTACTACCAGGAAACCACGGCTAGAAATGATCGAGGTGTTTGACACGGCGTGACAAAAACCCAACAAAACAGTTGATGTTTGTGATTCTTGGCCCTACTTGGATTCAAAGTAAGGACATAAGACATGATAATACCTATAGCTGAGAAATACGAGCGACTTTATCTACATGTAGCCACACCATCACTTCTTCCCCAAAAAGGGAAAATTCAATGTCACATCGCAAATCGCGTCATTCGACAGACTCTGTAAAAAATCCAAGCTGACAACTTTCTTAACATGCATTCATAGGGACGTCACTTATCGCAAAAATTATATCCTATCTTATCAGCCCATTTTATTTGAACTTTAGTTATAGTGTATAAAAATTTGACATATGCAAGTTTGCCAGGTCATAAACAAAAATGTGCCAAAATATTCGCATGAAATCTGCTTAATATAACACCATAATCATTTCGTTCGTGGCAATATATTTAGACAAGAGAACGGATTCTTCAAACAGCTTGTCTGCATATGGATAAGCTGTCTCGTATAAACTTGAGATGTTCTCTGGAGCTTGGCAGCCATATTCCCTGCATGCTGTACGTCTCGCGCGTCTATTGCGTGTTGCTTTAGCCTCAACGAGGTCAAGGTTACACTTAATTATGGAACAAATTTATAACGAGCCTGTACGTTGTGCCAAAAACTTAGTTTTTTTTAATTTGTAAGAAAACTTGAAAAAAGAATTAAAACAACAATTTGGCAATGTTGAGCAATAACATGTAAAAAAATGTTCTTAAAAGCGTTTTACACAATGTACATTGTAAAAGAACATTAGGTGACTCAGAGGCAAAACAGTCGCGTCAAGCATCTTTTCATTATACTTAGTGTAACTCAATAAATTTTACTTAAAGCATATTGGGGTCTGTTGCTCTTGTGTAGTAGTTTACGACTTCATTCAATGTTACCGAAGGATAAATTCACTTCCTGGTTTCATTTAAACCTATTCTGTTGTCAATAACACGACAGAAAGTCACGGCATCTCAATTTACACAACAGTCAGGCTATCGCAAAAACACAACAGAAAATCACACGTCATCATAATTGTATAAACAAATTTGTTTTATGCTTGGCATCATATTATCATTGAGAAAATTCTATTTATTTAGGTAAATCAGTCATGTGTTTGTACACGCAAGTCTGCGTTTTTATTTCGTTTTAATGAACTCGTTTTGATGACGTCACGTGACGTGGAATAACCTGACGTGGCGTGATATTAATGACCTAGGTTTACATTGCAAGTGTTCTTCATTAAGCAGAAGACGCTTACCTTTCCGGAACACTTTATTTTATTCATACTTTGTTAATCTTTTTTTACCTCCTTTCCCCATTTCTCTCTGTCGATAAATAAAAACACTGAGATTACAACCTTGCTTTTTCGACACCTATCTTTTGACATAAAGATTAAATCTACCACTTGTATTTGGATACCCATAGAATAGCGTTCGTTTTATTTGAATGTACAACAACGAGTTAAGTAGTAAGTGTTTATAAAGACCGTCTCGAGAATTTGAAGGGTTGGTTGATATGGCTGTTTTATGATCACAAATCGGACTGTACTCCTACTTAACATTCTTATCGGGTAAAATTGATCTACCATGTAGCAAGGCAGAATTGTAGCCTTACCGTAGTTGTAACACCTCTAGACTTTCGGGTGTTTTCTTCTTCACACAAAGTTGACAATTTATGACTTTAAAATGAAAAATAAAACGTGCCTTAAAATCTTTCGATTTTGTACCCGGTCATAAAAACCTAGGGTAGGGATTCACACCAAGGGGTCAGCTGATAGAAGCTCACGTGAAATGGTGATTCATCTTGTAGGCTTATATGAATTCCTTGTCCATTTACGTACGAATAATATGTACATCTTTAGGTCCTTATAATTGCTGTAGCTTGTCCTAGGACTCGCTGAATTCTTTTTTCATGGCCTTATGCGGGTTTAATGGTGGTCCCGCGAGATTCCATTCAACACTTTACAAGGGCTATGTGATACAACTCGCTTTCCTTAAATCAGTTAATCAGATAAGGGTCATTCGTTCTCTTGACCACAGTGACCATCAGTGACAATCGCCACATCAGTGGTCATCAATGGTCAGCTTCGGGCAATTAACGCCCATCTTTGTCGTCAATAACTTTAAAAACCAATTACGGAGACTCCCTACCGGACTGTGTTCCGGGCTGTGTTACTTAGACTTTACACCAGAACTGATAACTGTACTATATCCAGAGTAACGACTCTCGCGAGCTATATTGTGTACATAGTCCGTTTAATGGTTTACTGCTATTAAATAATTACATTTAACTTTCTGTGAATGCTAGTTGAACTTTACGCGAACATCTCATTCGATTGCTCGCTCCGAGTTATCAACATCATCACTTATTCATTAACATGAGACTAGCTATCAGGCTATGATCGATGTGTTTATTTAGATAAATCCAAGTGTTATACCACAAATGCTCATTGCATGACCGATCCTAGTCGATTTCTTTCTTGTCTTTTTTCTTTTTTTTTTACGAATGCATGTTGCACGATAAAATCTTTTTTTTTCTTTTTTCTTTTTTTTTTTACGAATGCATGTTGCACGGTAAAATCTATGTGTATGAAGTTTTCTATTTTTCCTTTAGGTGTGATGTATTGTTTCTAGCATCGTGTTTTAATGAATGCTCATATATATATATATTAAGATACTACACATTAGTCGCCTCCACTTCCCCTCTCCTCTCTTTCATCTCTCCCTTTCACATCCCCTGTACTCGCTCCGGGCTCTAATGATGGCAGTGTTTAATTTGGGAATACTATAGGATTCATATACGTTGAATTTCGAAACGTGTTTAGCACGTGCTTTACTTGTAACGGGACATATCATGTATCTTTTTTTCCTATATTCATATCATTTTCTGTTTTGCAGAGAGCGGACATATCGGGGGACAGATCTCGCAATTTAATTCATGCAAGAATGCATTCATCCAGAAATACGTCATTGGTTTCATTAGAGAAAAGCGGTAAAAACAATCAGTTATTGTGTCGTTATTATTCAAAGTGGTCCAAATGGTCAAACTGCAATAGACATTGTGAACAAAGTCGCGTGCGGCGATGTAAAAATCGAAAATACTGTGGCACAAGCTTCCTTAAGGAAAAAAGACACTGCCGGAAACAGAAGGGTGTGTGCTCGTCACTTTCTTATAAAGTTATTGGATTCAGAAGAAACCGATTAATGGAAAAGATTCTTTATGATCTACTCTATGATGAATGGTCACTTTGGGGGCGCTGTAAGCGGTCATGCCGGAAACGGCGATTCCGCACATGCAAGGAGCCACGTATTTGTGGGAATAGTTACATTCAACAAGAAAGAGACTGTAAGCTGCCTGGAACATTATGTGAGAAAAAATATACTTTAAGAAGCGATGAAGAAAATTCTTCCGTAATTAAACAAGTAGAAGCACCTGGGCCCTCAGGTAAGATGCATGTAATTGATGTTATTGAGATAGGTAAATGTTTTGCTATTTCAATGCAAATGTCAAAGAATACTTTCTCGTTTTTTTGTCCGGATAACCAAGGCGACCAGTTGCTGGATTTGGAAAATATTTATCAAAATACAATTAAATATATTTAAATCTTTTAGAATCCTGCATTTTAGAAAAAAATATTATGAAATGTATCAAAACACATAAAACAAAAGGCTTTTATCTACATTATTTTATAAAGAATAACTCTTTAAAACCGCAACCGATCCCTCATTCACGTGTATAAGGCCAATGTAATTGAGTACATCAAGTACTTATAAGGAGGCGAAAACAACGGAAGTGGAGAGTGATGATGGTATTCATCACTAGATAATGATGTTTACTGCAGACAACCCGTAAAATGGTTATCTGGAATACCTGTAAAGAGGTACCTGTCTATCTCTGTCTGAGTCATTGTTAGTATATCTAAAACCGTGTTTTTCAGTACAGTTGAGTTAAACCGGCATTCGGTAATTAGCGAAAATAAGTTTAACACTGAACGTCACCAGAACATTATATTCGTTGGTAGGACAACGCCTTGTGACTACCATGGAAGCCCTGTAACCAACCACTTAGTTGGCGCATTTGTTTACAAACGGCCAGTTATTTTATATTTTCAAGTATAATGTATGTACAAATTAAGAACTAAAAGTTTGGTAGACAGAATATTTCTCCGGACCGTGGAACGGTTTCTACTGTTATAGACGATCAGGCAAATGTAGTCTATTAATAACATAAAACATAGGAAGATCAGGAAAAAGTAGTCGAATTACAACATGAAGACATGGTGCCCTGATCTTACTTTGGTTCCTCAGAAAAAGATAACATACCACTTACATTTGTAAATTAGTTCGACTTTCAATAGGCTGAACCTGTCAAACACTTTGGAACGTGATTAACGAGGTCGACTTCGTCGATAAACAATACGTCTTCAAAGACTTTTTGAGTAATACGGAAGTACAAGAATGACAGATGATTGCAACTATCAAGAACTTAAGAATTTGAAAAGCACATAAATCTGACCCTTTTCAAAGTGTGATTGGTTGAGGTTTTCGTTAAAGCACGGCACAAATTGCTGCATTCCTGAATCTGTATAGTAACACTTTTACGTCCATATCACAGTCAGCGAGAGATATATTTGAACGGTGTCCACGGACGATTGGACTCCTGCAGACGTTTTTGTAGTGAAATCACCCTGGAATGTCACATCCTGAACATTGTAGCATAACATACATCCCAGTTGAACACATTATACAAGCTATTTGTCCCCAGCTAGCATATATGTTTGCCGTACTACAAACAGGCAACACGAGGTACCATTTAAGTGACTTTGGTATGTCTTGGCATTGAAACAGATCCCAAAGCCTTCCTCATGAGGGCGTCCATTCAAAACTTATGACAAAAAATGTGAATTATTGTCGAAAGAGAATTAAGCAGAATCGATAATGGATTTGGGGGTGGGGGAATTTTCAAGATTATTGGATTTTAGCAGTTTGTTATTAAATAGCGCTAAATGTTGCAACTTTCGTGAAATGGAGACAGACAGCAGACACATGTAATATAATGTATTCCCGATTGCTAACGTACGCTTACCAGATAGTGTTTGGTTTGGCTTTATGTGACTAGATGGTGGGCTCATTTGCATTCAAGAGCACCGACTTCGAATTCATTCGACGTCCACAAGGGGACACGACATATACGTGGTATGGTCAATAAAACGCTTGTTTACGTGGCATGGTCAATAACACGCTTGTTTATATGGGTGTCTAGACAGAAATTGCCATAGGATCTGGCATCTAGCAGAGATTATATTGTCACGTTACGTTTATTGATTTAATTAAAAACACTGTAATTGATTTTTTCAGGCAAAGAAGGTACACATGATGTAGCCGCGCCTACTCTCAAGGATATCAGCAATGTATGTGGAGAAAGGAAAATGAGGGGCTCCTTTAGAATTGTCGGTGGTCAAGAGGCACGTCCTAATAGTTGGCCATGGCAGGTAGGCTGAAGGACTGGTTATCACTAGATTGAATCCTCCACAGAATATGTCACTTTATCAAGTTTGTTTCAATAGCAGGCTTTATATCCAGAGGTTTCTTAAGATATACACATATATGCAATCATTTCTCAGTGAGAGATGTTTAGGACAGTTGAACGTCAAATATTTTGAAATCTAACATTTCTCTATTGGTCAGTTGTATTATGAATATGTTACAACTATCATAAATACCAGCTTCGTGTACCTTACACGATCAACGCGTTCCATTGCTAATTTACATACGTGTAGTACACGCGTAGGCAACATATCCACAACATCTACACGACATACACAATTCTGACACAGTAAACACGCTTGCTCACACCATCCTTACACGACACGATCATTACGAGGTACCACATGCAGGAAACCGTAAAAGTAACAATGTCCAAACGCTGTTTAATTAGAATGCTCATATGTATTTACCCTGATAAATATGAATCTGTTATTGTAGGTCGCTATCCTAACGAGATGGAAAGAACAGTACTGTGGCGGAACGCTTATAGCTCCTAACTGGGTTCTAACCGCTGCACATTGTATCCGGAAACGTTCTAAACGACGTAAGGTCATTGTGCGCGTTGGGGAACACGATATTCAAGCGTATGATACGACGGAAGTGGATTTACGTGTGGAAAGGGATTTCCCTCATCACCATTTTGACTATGAAACAATTACAAATGATATTGCATTACTTAAACTCAAAGAGAAAAAATCCTATCGAGAAAGTGACGATGTGGTTAAGGGATATGCTTGTCTTGCTCCGGAAAATTACGAAGTTCCGGATGGAACTATGTGTATGACAGTAGGCTGGGGAAAGGAACGCAACACAGATGTAACCGGTAGTGACGTTTTACAGGAAGCACAGGTGCCAATAGTTAATAAAAAGAAATGCCGAAAGGCTTTCGACTATAAAATAACGGACAAGCAAATTTGTGCGGGGTACAAGAAAGGGGGTGTAGATTCTTGTGCTGGAGACAGCGGTGGACCCTTATTGTGCCCCAGAAACGATAACGGCACAATGCGTTGGTTTGTGTATGGAGTTACGAGTTATGGAGAGGGATGCGGACAGAAAGGGAAATTTGGAATTTATACAAAAGTCACAAATTATCTTAAATGGATTAACAGAATTGTGAGAAATAATCCGTAATAAATCGTTATAAGCTTAAAATGCTAATCGTGACATCACGGCCATTTCCGGCACTCTTCGTTATCTAATCAGATTCCAACTCTAGCTGTGATTTGACGAGTTGTCGTTCTTGGTAATAAGATTCAGTGTTAGCTGAGAAATCCTATATTTTTGAGATATATTGACCATGTTCATTTGTGTATCTAAACATTTTTGTTGTTGATGTTTACTTGTATATATATATATCTGTAAGTGTAAGACAATCGTAATTTATTCACATTTTCTTTGAATTCTACAAATATCTATAAATATGAGAATTCTACAAATATTCTATCAATATGAGAATTCTACAAATATTCTATAAATATGAATGTACGAAATATATAACTTATGTATATAATGATATACGTTAATAGGCCTTCATTCCAATGAAAATCGATGGTTTAAATATTATTTACGTTGAACCTATAGGAATCGGAGGCTTATATATATACATGTCTATTGTATATTACTGCTTATTGACTAATTTCGGAGGGCAATTATGATTTCGGATTGTTCTTTCAATGAGATATTTGCGAAGATGATGATTCGCAAAAAGAACACAAACAGCCCATGTTTGAACTCTTTATGTCCGAATAAATATAAACGACATTCGTCTTAGATAACAATGAACTTAGATATTCTTGTTATCAACATCTGGAACCTCCTTGAGTTGTACGGACAATAGAACTAGCGCAGTTAATTCGGTCGCCGTGAAAACTAGTTAACTAGTCAAGATTTTCATTTAACCATTATTAATGAAAATGATTCGTCGATTCATTTTCTAACAGTTTAAAGTAAAGTCATCGTTCCGGATCCGTATTAAGAAAGGTGTTCGGAGTAGCGAGGTGAACAATATGGTTCATGATAGTTTTTATAACAGGGACACATATGTCTTGTTTGTTAGTTCAGAGTCTTTACAACTCGGATGTTGTGAATCATGTACGAGACTAGCTGATGACCGCTTAGTGTTAATGGGACATGGCCGTTTTAAGGGGGTTTTGTCCTTATTTAGTTAAAATCTTGGCATATTCTCAATATAAAGTCCTTCATTTATCCATCAAACATTGACTTTTATATACTTTGAGGCTGTCGAGGGGCTCCGCCATATTTCAATAAGGAAAAGATAAATATTGGTATCACTTTATTGTTCTCTGGTGTCAAGTGAAAACGACATGTTATTGTTTAATCAGCACACATTACGAAATCCATCGGCTCTGTTAGATCTAATTTTGATCATTTGGGTTACATACTATTTTAGTTGTCTGTAACTCATGTCTGTATGGGTCTAAACCAACAGTCAAAAAACTAATAGTTAAACTAAATCCTGGCAAAGGTCAACATACAAAAAAAATGTACAGTTTATCTGTGTCCCGCTAACGGTATAAAGACAGGACAGGGTTTTGTTTTTTCCTGGTTGAGTATTGTCGTGGCTGTTATTTAGGTATATGGCTGGAATGTTAGCCATTGTTCACCGACCCTTAATCCGGCCATACAGTTATAATTATATACTTAACACGCGTATATATATATATATATATATATATATATATATCAGTTTCCGTTAAACACTCTTTCTATGTCAAATCCAGCCAAGAGATATATTTCCTATAAGAGAACACAGTGACACGAGAAAACAACAAGTTTGTGTAGTATTGGGCCTATCTCGATGGGTAAGGAGCGTTATTGGTTTTTTTCTATATTGTTCTTGGTTTACCAAAGGTTAAAAGCACACATGATTACTTGTCACGGAAATCATCACATTATCTTCCATCCCGAAAATAGCGAAAAATTGAACTCGCCAAAAAGAACAATTACAGTTTTAACAGGTTTATGAATTTTTGGTTGCGAAAAATTCCGTCTTTTTGTAATAAAGACTTATCTGGTCTTATTAGCAGATATTGACTGCTACGTCCTGTGTTTGGGTGATAAAAGTTCGTCTAACAAGGTTGAATTAATTCATTTAATTTAAAAGTACTTACTATCTCCACAAAAATAGAAAACTATTTTTCGCGAGTTTTTTTATTTTGACTATGATGACATGTATTAAATGTGTAAGGAAGTGGTTGGGATTCAAATTAGGAAAGAAAATAATATCTTGTTTTCAACATTTATAAAAATGCTGAAAACTATTATCATAATCTATAAACGAACTTATCCAGTTCTCCCCCTACTCATTTCCCAATTGTGAACCGCAAAAAATGTCATATTTTGTAGTAACTTAAGTGATGTTTTGAAAGTTATGTTGGTTATATGTCAAATTTATTTCAGTAAACAACGATAACTACTGGTAAATAGGCCGACCTACTTGTATATCATTGGACATCACTGAACGTTGAGTTCCGCTGACTAACAGGGCGATACCGCAACTTAAATGATAAGGTCCTTTAGTTTAAATTTTGTACAATATTGAATAGGAAAAAATAATGAAAACAATAGCAAACAAGATTTTTACATATCACGCGTGCTTGCGAAGCTAAACCGTGAAGTATCCATATAAATGTTAACATGTCGTTTTGCAAAAATGGCGGAAAGAACCTAAATGTGATAAATTCAGGTGTCACACCTTTTCAACGTGTATGTCACTTCGAACTTATATCATTTTGACAAATAACGTTTCAGTTTTTTAATCCCCAACATTCTATTTGGAGGAGGGTGTTACCCATGTCTGTCCGTCCTGTCGCGTCCAAATCAATGTCGGATGCTGATGACCTCACAATGGAATTGGTTGATATCTTTACGTCACAGTGTTACAACACAGCCTCCTACATCCGATCAGGTTCTGTTGTGAATAAGACCGGGGACCTTAATATCTAACAGATGTTTTCTAGTTTAATTTTCTTTTCGTAAATCTGACTATTGCCTGTTTGAAACATCTAAACGTACATTGCCTGAAAAGTCATGTCACTTTAAACAATTATGTATGTAGGTCATCGTCATCATCAAAAGAAAAATAGGGCAACGCTATTGTATCGATATCCTTATGTCATCTTAAATCATTCTCGATTTGTACAATGTACAAATCTATATTGTGTATTGATCTATGACAGGCTTGAAAAAGGGCCAGTGTGCTTAAAATTGTTGTAAAAAGTTGAGAACCACCAAAATAGAAGTGAATCATCTACTTTTAAAAACGGAATTTGATCAGACTCACAAATAACGAAAAATGTCCGTTATGATCGATAAAGTTTGGGATTCGAACTCACAAGAATTGGATAAGCTGGCAAAATATCAAGAAGATCATATTTTAAAAAAATTATACTTTATTACATGTGACTTCTGCAAACTTTATCGCGCATTGCCAAATTGTAAATTATCTGTCATTGTTCCCGTTTGAAATCAATGATTACGTTGGTTCTTAGCATATAAAGTAAAACCTCGATATAACGCCATTTCGTTATTTTGCCATTACTGTTGTCAACATTTTTGATTGTTGTATTTATTTTCCTGGCTGTACATACACATCCATTCACAAATACACCTGATAGGCGAAAGGATGGCAGCATGTTGTTTATGACGAGGTTTCAGTATATCATTCATGTTATGTAATGTTTATGTCGAACAATGTTGCTGTTTATACCAAAATTATCTCGATATAGGCACACTTCTTTACCGAATAAAGAATACATTTTAAAATATTACAATTTTTTATACAAATGTAGAAAACAATATTCAACCCATACATGAATGTAAAAATTAGAGTACAGATTTTAGAGAACCTTTCCGTATTAACAGTTCTAGCCAGTAAGAGGTTCAAGTAAGTAGTATTTCCTGGTGCTGACCCCTTTTTCAGCACTGGGATAAAACTCGTGCAGGACATGCTTTGTATTTCTCTTTTGAGAGAAGTTGCATGTTTCGTTGAAGGTAGAGCCTTAAGTTTGAATTAGATATTCGAGTTAATTTGTTTAATATGTTGCAAGGATATGCATCATCTTTATCACGGTAGGAGAAAGGTCATTACGGGTCGTGTATTATATCAGTTCATTCATTAGTTATTATTACAATATTTATGTTTTAACTGTAAAATATTTGTAAATATTGCGTATTTACATCTTCATGTGTTTGTTTTCTTTTTTTATTTATCCGTTTGATGGTCCTATTTTTAGCAATAGATGAGGGTCATTAAAAAAATTCTGTCATTAATGTCATAACATCTCAGAATATTCTCTTTTGACTGAAACACTTTGGTATACCGGCGAGTCATTGCAATGTTGCAGAACTTCTTGGGAACGTCTTGGCTGAAGTTTCAAGAGAGAACATTTCTTCGGCAAGGGAAACAAGGAGCCACTTTTGTATTTATGTCTTGAGCTAAAATGCAGCTTATAATTGAAGATACTGACCATGTATTCCATTGACTGTAAATAAGACTTTCTAAACTTCAACGGTTTGTTTTCAGTCGTTCTTTATCCGACGCTGATGAATTTTGCCTAATGACGTACGCAAAAAGAATTGCTCCGCACGGAATAAAGTTAAAAACTTCGACGGATATAACAGCAATTTTAAGACTTTTCTTAAATTGTTCTTTACACCATCTATAATTATTTCTCTATAAAGTTAGTTTTAGTTTTTGAACTCGGTATCGAACTAAATTCAGAAAGAAATTTAGTTGAATAACCGCACGTGCTAAAATACAACTCTTTTCCATCATTGCCGAATACAGCAAAACTATATTTGGCAGGTGTTTTCCGACAATGGCAGCGCCAGTAACGGGATTGTAAATGTGAATCACAGCAAGGTTCTTAATCTAGTTTAGTTTCAACTTTCGTTTCAGCATCCAAACACATTTCACTGCTTAAGAATGCATACCATTCATCAATGCTTATTCTTATTGGGTTGTGTTAAAATTTTACACGTGCGTTCTTATTTATAGCTTTTGCGGTTTGGTGTTTTGATACATCTCTTTAAGAGAGCATTTTAGTTTCACATCTTACTGAATAGCCCTCGAAATTACAGACGCTGTACTTTCATGAAGGGAATATCATATCTTATCAATACATGAAAAATGTCATTCTTGGACAAATTCTGATGTGAAAAGTTTAAAGTAAAAAAAGCTAATTGATAAAATGTGAATAAGGTTCAAAACAAGGCAGTGATGCTAACTGAAGCCGGGGCAAAATGCAAACAACAGAATGATATATAAAGACATTTCGGATAGTTTTTTAAGAATTAAGTGAAAAATATCAAAATCTTAAAAAGATATTGTGGAAGTGGTTCAG